CAGTCATTATGTGAGCAGTCATTGTGTGAGCTGTCATTGTGTGAGCAGTCATTGCGTGACCAGTCATTGTGTGACCAGTCATTGTTACTGGTCAAGAGATGTTTGGCCAGACAAGTGTCAATTTTGGCCAGAAATTAGAGACCTAAGTATCAACAAACATGGCAATGTCAAAGCAATGATGCAAGCATATTTTCGAAACAGTTTTTCATACATATTCCATTATCCTCAACATTGCCGTTCTCTCTAGGATATGACTGTATGGCATTCCACAGTAGAGAGAAGGGAAATGCCAAGGATGACAGCATGCACATGTAAAACATGCTCTCATTATATTTTTCACATTGCCCTCCTTGTTGCTTATCAATTAATGATGCTATAATCAGCCATTAACCAGCTATTAATTTTATTCTTGATGTCCTTTCACACAGATCTTAATGCCCCGCCCACCAGTTGGGTTGTTCTTCCCCAAGACAGGGATTCTCTAGCCATTGTTGCTATTGACAGTCAGATATACATGATTGATACGGGACAATGCATCCAGCAGGTAAATAGATATACTGTATTCACTGTGAGTGAGAAGGGTTTTACGTTTGGAAAGAATTGTTAAAGTGCTACTACGACGAAAATCGCTCAAACTTGGATTCAGCTGAAACTTCCTAAGAAACTCTTTAAAGGTCCAATAATCACTGTATGAAGTGTTTTCTCGATATTCAGGACGAAAGTATGATATTTTTACGATTATTTTTTGGAGTCTGTGACGTCATACACTCAACATCGAACATCGCTCCATACATTTCTTTGTAGTTTATGATCAAAATATCAGTAGTAAAGGGAGAAAGAAATACCCAAACACCCCAAAATATAAATCATAGTCACAAGTAATGTGAAATAAGCACATTAGCCACCCTTTGGGCTTCATAGGAATAAAATAAATTAAGGATTTATATACAAAGAAATATATGTAGCAATGTTTGATGTTGAGTGTATGACGTCACAGACTTCAAAAAATAATCGTAAAAATATCATACTTTCGTACTGAATATCGAGAAAACACTTCATACAGTGATTATTGGACCTTTAAAGAGTATTTTTAGGAAGTTTCAGCTGAATCCAAGTTTGAGCGATTTTCGTCGTAGTAGCACTTTAACAATATATAATCTGTGACAGATCTAGGGGAGTACAACTGGGCTTGAATTGGCTCTTAATTGAAGTCCTCTTCCTTCCTAGCAGTACCTCAAAATGGAAGAAATAGCAATGGCACATACAAACTTTACTTGTTGAAACTTTAACAGTGAAGCATGTATCTGGATCCCAATAGAAATGTGAAGGAAGGAAGGAAGGAAGGAAGGAAGGAAGGAAGAAAGATAGAATTTTACAAGATAACATAAGGCATGAGCTACTAAATAAGTGGGCTTTCTATGTTTCAAATGAATGTAGATACATGAAATAAAACTAACCAATTTACGCAGTTATCCAAGCTATGGAAATTGTGTCTTTTATTTATTTATTACTTCATGATTTTTCAATCAGTTCCCCATGTTTAGTGAGCCAGTAACATCCATAGTTGAGATGGCTCTTTCTTCCAACAATTCCTACTTGGCCATGTTCACTGATGCAGGTCTGGTCTGGATTGGCTCTCCTGATATGCAGGTATGTATTTGTTTATAATGCCTGCATGCCAGTTCTTGAGCTGTTTCAATGTGGCTAGTGCAGGTGCATACTGAGAGTCCAGGCTTTCTTCATTCAAGTCTCTCTAAAATAATATTGCAATAATATTGAAGTTGCATGCTGATTGTATTTTCCTTTGTGTGCTATCACCAGAAAGTATACTGTGAAGTCAAGACACAGTGTTTATCAAGGCCAAAGCAGCTTGCCTGGTAAGTTTTGATTACTGGAACAGATCCAGCTAGTACAAACAGGAGCAGATCCAGCTAGGGATGGTTCCATGGAACCTCTTTTGTGGAGCTGTGAAGCAGATCATGTTCTTTACATACACTTAGTTGATTGAAATTGGAACACCTCTTTGTGAAGCTGAATGCGCCAGCTTTTTTTGTAAGGCGACCGTTTTGGAAACCCCCCTTTTTAAAATCCTGGATCTGCCACTGGGAAACAACTTTTTTGTTTCTTGACAAAGCAAAAAAATATTTTGTTCAATTCAACCAACAATTCAGCTGATATCTGCATTGAAACAAGATACATAAATAATGTTTGTAATGCACCAGCAATACTATTTATTACTTCTATCTAGTGTGCAAATTAACATACTAATATGATCAAATGTGCATAACAAGGTCTTTTTATGTACCAGGTGTAGCACAGGAGCTGTTCTCTGCTACTGGGATGATTATTTGGATGTTATTGGACCAACTAAAGATGTCACCAAATATCCTTACATAAAAGCTAGTTTTAAAGACTTGGTAGCTATTTAATGATAATGGTAATAATTTTGAACAGGTTGTTACAGGGGTGATAATAAAAAGATGGTGGTGATATAGCAAGGTTGCTTGCATTTTCTTCTACCAAAAAAGAATATTGTTAGCATCCTTGACACTTCATTACATATTATATGGACAGCCAGGTGCACCTTGTGCAAGAAATTGATGGGGTCCGCATCATTGGCAGCTACACTCATGAATTGCTTCAGAAAGTGCCAAGTAAGACTTTGTTTCTGTACTATGTACATGTAGGAGAAGCAAGTCATGGATGTACTGCAGCAGGTTGATAACAGTAAAACATGCATGAATGTGCTTTATCACCTGACTACTAGTATCATCAGTAGCATTGTTGTACTCATCAAGAATTTGTGATGTTCAGTACCCCTGCCTTAGACAAAGATCAGTGCAATCCTTATCTCCAAAGTAATGATTAATGGGTATCGTTGCTGTTTTTATCAGCTGCTGTTGAGAACGTCTTCAAGATTGGCTCCATGGAACCTGGTGCTATGTTGTATGATGCAGCCAGAGAATTTGAGGTTTAGATTACAATTATTTATGTCTGGTTTTGTGTTGTTGTTGTCATCATTCTCTTGCTTCCTTGCTTGCTTGTTTAGCTTACATGCTTGCTAGCCTAGCGCTGTTTGCTTGTTTGCCAGTTTGTTTCATGATTTATTTTACTTGCTTGCCTGTTTGTTAGCTTGCATGCTTGTTAGCCTAGGTCTGTTTGCTTGTTTGCCAGTTTGTTTCATGATTTATTTTACTTGCTTGCCTGTTTGTTTGCTTGCTTGCTTGTTTTACTTGTTTGTTTTCTTGTTTGTTTGTTTTTGTTTGTTTATTTGTTTAGACGGACCCTGAGCAAGTGCAAACCACTAATACAGGATTAACCTGTTTTACTTAGAAAAAGAGTGCCCGTGCAGATGAGTATGTCAGGATGATCAAAGACAAACTTCCTGAGGCTGTAGAACAGTGTATCCAAGCAGCTGGTGCTGAATATGAACCATCCCTTCAGAGAAGTTTACTGAGAGTAAGCTAAAACCCCTTTATCAAGAGTATATCTATGTATAACAAGACTTACCATGATATATGAACATTCATTCCACACCATTGAAAGAACAGCCAATCAGAATGTAGGACGGTCGTGTATGTTTGGTTGTATTGTTTTGTTTCTGTTCATAAGGCATTTCGAACTTTTGGATTTATCGACCAAATGCCTAAGTATTTACTATGGTGTGGGATAAAATAGTCATCGTAATCCCACTTGTCACTTTCTAACATACATACTTGCAAGAAGGCCACTGTGTAAACTTCATGTAGAAGATACTCAAGTGACTCCAGGAATATTCCATGGTATACCACCAAAAACCATAGTATAATCAGCATATATAACAACCTAGATATCATTCATTTATAACGAATGTTATATCACAAATCTTTTTTTCAGGCTGCATCATTAGGGAAGAGCTTTCTGAGTGACTTTGATCCAAAACCATTTGTTAAAATGTGCCAGACGTTAAGAGTACTCAATGCCGTGCGTGAATATACTGTTGGGATACCCATAACATATGCACAGTATCCTTTGCCATCAATGATTGCCATGGGATATGCTTGCGATATAGTTAACAGAGGTGGTGGGGGGGGGGGGGGGATATTATGATTATGATAATTATATAGCGATATTTTCCATGTGGATATGTTCAAAGGCGCTTTTCAATGATTTATGAATGAGAGATGGTTAAGATGAGGTGTAGGCACTGAGGGTGGTCACTGCCAGGGTTTCTTTACGTCCTCAGTGGTTCTTTTACGTCCCTCATATGTTGGTTAGTAATCAGAGTGTGGAGAGACGGGACCGCCATTTAAAGTGGTCATCCGAGCCACTTGAAAGTCTAACCATTTGCAGATATAATTACAAAGGCAGCACTTTCTCCTCAATTACTCAACCAACTTAGCCAACCGGTTGGCGTATATTGGCAATATTGGCTTTTTCTTGGTGTTGCAAGGCACCCGTGGCATGAAGACAATACAGCAATAGACAAGGAAAAGAATTTGCAGCTAAACAGAACCTTGAAATACGAAAACCCTAACCCAGAATACAATAAAGCTTGCTATGCCAAGAAAGACCCGAAATATTTATGAAGACTGTGATAGTGATGCTGTTTATCACAACGATGTAGCATAATTATAATAACTATTTTTTGTTTGATGCTCTTTAACTTACTTACTTAAGACTTGAGCAGCTGTCGACAAGATTATTAATTGACAGGTAAGTGAACATGAAAATCCAATAAAGAGCTTGTTGGGTTTTGTGAAGGGAGGAGAACTTGAGAACCATAAAAAAATCCTTGAATCAACGGGAGAGACAATCTCTACTCACATGTGATGCGAGTCCAGGAATCCAACGAGACCCCAGAAATCCAACGAGACCCCAGATGTGAGAGACAGATGTACTGCTGCTACACTACCCTTGATTCAACTTTTACCACTGTCAGGGATATACTCCTAAACGTTTTCGTCCTGCTGATACAATGATTTGCAAACGGAGACTGAGTTTATCTTTACTTCCTTTAACATTACCAATTGGCGTGTGACATGCTGTCTTCGTATTGTAGATTAGTTCTTCGTCATCACTATTGTCTGGCCATTAGAATATGTGACTACCTTAAAATTCAAAAAGCTGAGGGTGCAAGCCGCATTCTTGGACACTGGGCTTGCTATAAGGTATGGTTAAAATGTGCTACTATTATCATGATCATTACTATCATCATCATCATCACCGACGTCATCGCCACTATCATTTTCATCATAGCATAACAATAGCATGATCAGCAGCAGCATCATTATCATCAGCAAAAGCAGTAGCATCATCATCCATCATGATGATCGTTGTCACCATCATTATGCAAGGTGATCATCACGATTCAGGCATCACTCTTCATCACTATATGATAAAAGTCACATCACTATTATGAATTGATACTGAAATACTTTGCATTTTACATTCGATTAATATCTTACATATTGCATTTGCTTTCAGGTCCAACAAGCGAACGTAGGAGATGAGGAGATAGCCCGTGCTATCAACGCTAAGTTGGGAGAAAGCACTGGTATTTCCTACACAGAGATCGCTTCTAAGGCTCTGGAGTGTGGACGAACAAAATTGGCCATCAGAGTAAGTATTGTGATTGAAAATTACTTKACGTCACATCACATCACATCACATCACATCACATCACATCACATCACATCACATCACATCACATCACATCACATCACATCACATCACATCACATCACATCACATCACATCACGCAACGTCATTACAGATCACACGACGCAACGTCTAGGAGCGTCACATAACGTAACACCACACTCAACACTTCACTTTATGTCACATCAAACTACGCAACGTCACGTCACATGCCACCACACAACACTACGACAGATATCACCACGCAACGTCAAGGAACGTCAGCACTTCACATCATATATCATCACAAAATGCAATGTCACGATTACTACATCACATCACATCAAGCCACGTAACTTCACTTAACGTTACATCATATCAGAACACGTAACGCCACGTAACATCACTTCACATGAGGCAAAGTATTTTTTGTAGTTTTTTTAACATGACTTTACACTGTAGCTTTTAGATTACGAACCCAAAGCAGCAGACCAGGTGCCATTGTTGATGAGGATGAAGAACGACGAGCTGGCATTAGAAAAGGCCATTATGAGTGGTGACACCGATCTTGGTGAGTTAGCCTTCATTTGCTTGGGCAAGTGTGATGTTACTCTCGATTGATAGAGAAAATTTCGCATGACTGAAACGTTACGGGGTTGGAATAAGCAGTCATCCAATGAAAATGATGGAGACGTCCTTCCGTATCATGACTTTCAAAGTCATGTGAAATTTTCTCTAGGTCTTCTCTGTTCAACGTAAGAATAATTAAACCTCTTTAGCTTGGGCGTTTTTTTTCCCATTTCAAATCACGTGTCATTCTCTTGAGAATAAGATTTTGTGTTCGTATTCATGTGTCTTATCATACGAAACCTTTAAACATGGAAATGATCACTAGGGAATGACATCTGAAATAGGAAAACATTATGCCCAAGGTAAAGAGGTCTATTGTTTTCTCTTTACTCTTTCAAGAAAGTACCAGACGCAGACATAGGATGTAAAGTTGCACATAACGTTGCAATCGTTTCTACTTTTTGTCATGTCGCTAGAAACGTGTCATCTTGTGGCTGCGCCTCGTATCCATAGACAAGAGGGTTTGGCTCGTGATTCTAACATGGTTGTTATTCATGTTGCAGTGTACACGGTTATCATGCATCTTAAAGACACACAATCACAGGGAGATTTTCGAAGGTCAATTCGCAATTATCCAGTCGCTTTTAATTTATTTACTAAGGTAATTGAAATTTGTTTATCTCCTTGAGTCAAATAATTTACCTTCACAACTACCCATCAGCTGGGATCCCTGTATCATTTTGAAGTGTTGTTTTTCACATTGGTCAAAACTCTGGCTTAGTCATTTGGCCACTAATGCTTTCTGCTCATTGGTTGACATCTTAATCCAGCCTTGAGTCAGTCCTCAACACAGAGGTCAAAACAGGCTCACTCCTCCAAATCACATCATTCCCTTGAGTATTATTTCTTAAACATACCAGCTGAGTACTTCTATATACAGCAATGTGTGTTATAAATACCGTAAGTCCATAACTAGAATATTGAAAATTAAACTGTATGTTTTTATGTCAGTACTGTAAAGAAAATGAACCTCAAACCCTGAGTGCTCTGTATGATGAAGACGATCAGTTCTTAAACATTGGCAATGTTTGCATAAAGAATAGCTACGATAAAGAGGTAAGACCTTGAAACCATTCCATCACATATTTAGTCTGAAAGTCGACTCTACCTTAATACAGTAAGATGCACTGGTGTACTCCCCTTCCCCTCCCTCCAGCCCCCACCCCCCAAACTTCGTCCTCGTTCAGTGTTGTGGATTGATATCTGAAACAGTCGCGGTAACACAACCAATACATCATGCAACAGTACGAGAGAGAGAGAAGTGTTGTATGCAACAAAATGGCTGGACTGTGACGAAGTTTCTGTAATGAAATCTTGTTGTTATAACAGACGCTGGAGACAAGGATTACACAGTTGAACAAGGCTCAGATAAACTTCACAAGAGGAAACCACCCGTTTTATTCAAAGGTGAGCAGGTTTGATATAGCGATGCAGGGCTTAAAATAACGGTTGGACATCCAACAATGTCTGGCCAGAACTGGGACTTGTCCTGTCTATTCTTTGCCTTGCCTCCGGTCATTTCAATCAGTAACGTTTAGCCAGAAATGAGGTAAGACCAAGCTAAAACTAATTTGGCTTGTGATCATGACCAGCAACTGATCGGCAGCTATTTTGAGCTTTGAGACCTGGCGATCGCTATCGTACGTGATTACAGTGTTACTTGTTGGTTCTCAGGGGCGGATTTAGTGGTGGGAAGGGTGGGGAGGGACCGATGGGGCAGAGACCCACATTTAGTTTGGATTTCTATTTCTTTTACCTTTTTGTCTAAAAATATGCCCAGAACGCAGGAAATAGCATTTGTTAAATAAAAAGTAGCATGAGATGTGAGACCTCTATTGGTTTCGTTTTGCATAGTCAGAGGTGAGATTCGTCTGATGCACAGATTCCTAGATCCGTCCCTGGTTCGCTCCTTTGCTTCGATGATTTTTGTGGGTTTCTGTCTTGTTCCATCGGTAATGACATTTTTACTCCAAGTGAATAATGGTGAATGAAAAAGTACTCATTGTAAAATACCCATGCTTAATGTGGATTTATTTATTATATTTTATTAATAAAACATCAAAAGGTCAACAAATCTTCCAACATACCTCAACCTCCTTCAGTTATGACTAAAATCAATTTTTCTCCCTTGATAGTGTACAGAGGAACAGATCAAATTATTAGAATACCAAGCAAAACTAGGTGGTCAGTTGAAACACACCTTCATGGACTTGTCTCTTAGTGATACTATACATCAGGTATGATAGTTCTGTCTCATATTCATACTATACATCAGGTATGATAGTCCTGTCTCATATTCATACTATACATCAGGTATGATAGTCCTGTCTCATATTCATACTA